ATAACTTTTTTTATCTTAAAGTATGGATGTGTTGAAATTCTGTGTTTAGGGTAAGCGGTTACAACAGATTTCATATAATTTGTACAAGGGTATTGTTTTATAGAGTTATATTTATGTTGTCGAAGGATGTCCACCGAGTTTAACACTCGATACATCCTCAGATCCAACCCAATGTGGCTGGCCCGTGTCGACTAGGGTACTTCAAACCCAATCTTGAATGACTGTTACCAAAGGCTTCTACGCCGTTTTTGTATTTCATTCACGTGATGGAATGGTCAGCATTATAGATTTTGACTCGAACAAATAACGAGGGTGATTGGGCAATACAAAGTTATCCTAAATTGGCTAACAGTGGTCGAACGCATCGAGCGACCTTCCGGATAATCTATCAAATTTCAGGACCTTCAACCTCTGGAGTGCTTATGCAAAGTACAATATTCATTTTGAGAACAATTGACTATTACAGGCATTACACATCACCATCGTAGTCGGCAAAATCGCAGTCGTCGCAACTGTCGGCGTCACTTTCGCTTTCGCTCTCGGACGAGAATGCGGCCCCTACGGCATCATCGGCATCGTCCACGGCATTCAGGTAGACTGCCATTTCTACCACTTTGCGATCGGTATGGTTGATGCAATCGAAAACCACGCTACTCGGTAGGCCGGCAAATTCACGATCCAGCCGCTGGCGAACGTCCGGGAACTTGGTCGAGGTATTGTACTGCCGCCCAACAGCCCCTGTGACATACGCCCAAACCATCTCGATAGGTTGCAGGTTAGAATGGTACGGTGGCGTGAAGACCACCTCATGGCCGCGGTCCTTGGCAAACTGCACGATCACAGGTACGATGTTCGCTGCAATATGGATCTTCAGCTTGGCCCAAAACGTCGATCGGAGCTCCCTTACGTCAATTCCGATTCCATAGGCTTCACAAGCCTCCGCCATTTTTCGTTTCGTCCACGAGCCCTTCGGCGTATTCTCGGGTAGGCCCTTGTGGTACTTCGCGTTGTCTAACACGATGATAACATTGGACTTTCCCAGGGAATCGGCTTCATGAAGCAGTCGCTGGAACCACGCCACAAAGTTCGCATGGTCAAACATGGTAGTCCTTCGTTTGCTCCCCCCTTCGAAGGCTTCGTAGGTTAACTGCTTGGAGTTCTCGCGCTCATCGGCCATGATCGCAGCAATGAAGCACAACCGCCGACCTTTGTGCTTGGGTTTGGCGTCTATGGCGTCGTCAGGGTGATATATACTGTCGTTATGACGAGCATAATGATGATGAATATAGGATTCATCCAAGTATATTAGCGGCCGAGGCAGTGAAGACTCGATAGCCGTCGTCATATATTGAACATATTTATCCCTAGTACTAGCCACAGCGTCAGAAAGTTTAACAGAATGGTTACCCTTTCGTTGGTCACGTCGAAATCCCTTTTTTACTAGGAATTTCTGTACTAGTCGCAAACATGCATTCACAGCTTTCTTGTTTTGAGGATCATACTTCACAATACCATGTTCGTACAATAAACTCATCACATCTTTTGCCACTATCTGTGTGCGAGTTGGCCTACGCTCACGAACAAATGACTGAATGATGGACAAGACCTCTTTGGTGTCTGGAATGCGTGTATTGCGGCTAGATCTATTCGCAGCAACTCGAGCAGTAGTTGCAGTCTTATCTCGTAGTTTTATCGACCAGACTTCCTTTACAGCATGGAGGCTTCGACCTACGAGCTGTGTAATCTTCTCTGAAACACCTACGGCGTTACGACGTCGAAGTTGTGCATACATGCGAAGAATCAATAGACGTTCGTCTCGTGACAAACTCCTCGTTCGCTCAGTATCGACGAAAATTGTGGTCTCATCGTACAGCTCAGTGGTGATGGCAGGCATTGGTGTGTAGAACAATGATCATGCTGATGACTGGATGTGCAAGTCATTCAGCCATCATTCAAAAATCGACCAATAGAATTGAAAGCTACATTATCAGATGGCACGTATAAACCACATCCAGGTTTCTGGTGTTTCTTGGCACAAATAGATTCTAGAGAGGAAATTATTGAATCTTGAAGACATCGATATTCAGGAGGCAAAATGACTATCATTCTGGTCTTTCAATCATCATTTCATGAAGAATATTCTGTTTCAAGGGACAAGGGCATTACCAAAAAATTCGCACAGAAAAGCAACGGAGAACAATTTTTTTTAGGAAATTTCATCCACAAACGCTCAGGCTGCAAAAAAGTTCGGTCGATGCGTTCGACCATTGTTAGTTATCTTAAACTGGTTTTTTACGTTAATATTACTACAAGTCCTTACTATGCCATGTCAGCATCCACGTCGTTGTCCTTGGATTTGGTCGACAGCTTGGGCCCATAGAGGTACTCCATGGCCCACCTCGAGTGTCGCTCTGGATGCTGCAGAAGATACGTCATACACGTGGCAAAGAGAACGGCGGCCAGTCGCGTCCCCGTGCGCTTGGACACGACAAGGTACTTTGCCGATAGTTGAAAGTACACTGACAGGAGGCTGTAGCAAGCCACGGCTTTGACGATAGACGCGCGTCGGGGCGGGGGTTCCAGGTATTGCGCCAGGAACGGAGTTAGTGATGTAAGCCGGATCATGGCCAGGTCGTTATGTGGAGGGAGGAGACAAAAGGTGGAGTAGGCTAGCATGTAGCTGGATGTCATAAACGCGAGGGACCGCGCGAGGCTGGTTGCCGTGCGACGTAGCGATACTGGTCGATTCATGCCCACGGAAAGACATAGCGACAAGCCATGCAAAGGCACGAAGATGTGAGCGCTACGCTTAAGGAGCTTCCTGCATGTGGCATATGCAAAGGTGGCGCAAGTGCGATTCGGATGCAAACTGGCACATCGTGACGTGGCAGACGTGTGGAGGTTCTGTCGGATGGCGTCGAGGCGGGAAGGAGAGAGGGACGACTGGTGGTCCATCATAGCCAAATGCGCGGGAAGCATCCACTCGGGATGGACGAGGTTGGTGTGGACGAGTCTGGCTGTGACCACCATCGATGCGCACTGTTCCACGAGCCAGCGAAACGTTGGCGCCAACGTGGATTGAACGAGCGACGAGGTCGCGTAGAGCTGGACTATGGTCTCGACGCATGCATACGACAAGAGAACGTGCTTGTGTTGATGTGAACACAGTTGAAACAAGACGAGAGAGGCCACCCAGGCAGCCAACTTGCTCTTGCCGTCGCCTTTGCTTCGCCATCCATTGATGTAGCGAAAGAAGCCACAGCCGACGCCCAGTGCTACAAACACTGACGGGGGGGGCTTCAACCGGCGGCTGCGAACGCTCGAGATGACAGTCCCTAGAGCCAGACACCCACATGTGCCTTGAAGGGCATGGCGCAGTGCGTCGTCGACTTTGGCCGCCTGCATGATCAATTTAGATCAATCGTGAAATGTCGAAAAGTTATCCGGATTTGGCATCATCACAACCGTTATGATGACGTTGTCCTACAGTAAAAAGGCTTCACTTTTTATCAAACGAAGCCATGTCATTGGATCGTTTTTCGAATTTCTTGAAAATATTGAAAATTGATTGTCAAATCGTCAACTTCACCTGGAAAACGTTTCAAGTACCGTATTGGCCTGGCTACTTCAATGTTCTAGCCGCAAATGCTCATCAGCAGAAGTGTCGGGGCTTGGCGTTGGGACGGCTTCCCTTGTACGGTTGTCAGACCAAGGTATTGTACGAGCCACTGGTTATGGGTGTGCATCGGTCGCTGTAGCAAGTACACCATCAAGCCAGCATACAAGATCGTCCACATGGCATACTCTTGCCGGCGGCCCCACAACGCCAGCAGCTTGTGTCGTCCTTCTTTTTGGATAGCACTATGTTTCACTTGATACACGACGGTAATGAGGCTGTAGCAAGTAACCGCTTTCAGAATGGCCTGTCGGCGTTTGCCAGACTCAAACCGCTGCGCCAACGACGGCGCCAACGTCGCCATTCCTAGCATCACTTTGTGATGCGTTTGGGGCAGCTGGCACGACAACATGTACGGAAACAGGTAGTTGGTGGTCAAAAACATCACCGATCGCAACAAGCCCGAGGCCACCGTGGACAAGTTGGGGCGGCGCTTCTTTGGCCCGGCGAGCGATGCCAGCATAGACAGCAAGTGCAGCGGCACAAAGATTTGCACGCTGCGCAATGCTAGACGACCAGCTGATTGCATGGCGAAGGCGCCACAGGACGACGTGTGTGGATGCAGCATCGCACATCGAGTGACGGTCGTGTCGTGGAGGTTGGCTCGGAGGGATGCGCGGCGGGCGGGGGACAAGCCGGACTGGAAGTCCAGCATGCGGAGCTGCGACGGAAGAAGCCAGTCGGAATGGAACAGAAACGTGTACATGAGTCGCGACGTGACGAGGACGCCCGTGGCTTTCTCGAGCCAGTACTGGCGGGTGAAGTGCGTGAGGTAGTACGTGGAGATGGCTTCGACGGCCGCGTACGACAACACGATGTGCTTGTGGTTGTAACTGCACAGACGAAAGAACGCCATGGACCCCATGATCGCAGCCAGGCGGCGATGCTCGAGTCGATGGAGGAATCGAAACACGCCGCAGCCGACCCCCGCAGCGACAACGATCGCAGGCGGCAGTTTGAGTTGGCGCGACCGAGCGCTGGATATGAGAGTACCGACGAGCAAGGTTAGGCATGAGGTCGGAGCGGCGTGGTGGATGGCGTCGAGTAGGAACGCGTGCGTGGGTTGATGATGTCGGCTCATGATACAATAATGTCGATGCCAAACCTTTATATCGACTTCGTCCAAAAGAGCATATTTTTGGGGCAAACATCGTGGGCCAATCCATACTCCAACTTGGGACATTTTTATTCTTATTTTATGAATTCTTTCATTTTTTCTTTTCAGAGGTTACAAATACAAGGAAATACACGTGGCTACATGTGTGTGGTGGTTTGGTATTATTGTGTGTGGTTAACTCAGTGTTTGGGGAACGTGCTCGTCGGTGGGGCGACGTGCGAGTGGATGGCTCGGGCTACTACTCCTCCTCCTACTACTACTAGTACTACTAGTAATACTACTAGGTGGCTTATGCATGGAGTTGCCGTACAAGTACTGCATCGCGAGGTGACTTTGGAGGTGCGGTCGGTTGAGTATGTGTGTCATGCACGCGGCATACACCGCTGTGGCGACCCATGTCCACGGCACGCGCTTGGCTAGCGCCAATGTTGTCACATATCGTCGCCAAACTCGGCTAGAGGTGGCCTGTAATTGGAGCGAGACGAGCGTCCAACAGGCTATGGCTTTGAGCACTCTGGCGCGTCGTTTTCGAGGTTCCACTTGCAGCACAAGATAGGGAAGCATGGACGCCACCAACGCCGTTAGTTTGTGGCGTGTCTGAGGTAGCGAGCACGAGAGCAGGAGCGGCGCCATGTTGGCCCCAGTGAGGAACACCACCGACCGCCCCACGTTGTTGGCCAGTGCAGGCCACTGGACACTCGTTTGTTTCCTGGCTACGAAAACACTCGCGGCAAGCGATAGACATTGCAATGGTACAAACACTTGTGTGTTTCGACAGAGCAGATTAAGTGTGCCTGTGATGGCAAACTGGCGGCATGAGCGGTCGGGGTGCATGGTGACGCACCGGGTTAGCTCGTTCGTGTGGATGTTGCGTCGAAAGCTGTCCAGATGGGCCACGGGGATGTTGGTCTGGTAGTCTAGCGTTCGCACCATCGACGGAGGCAGCCATTCGGCGTGCACTAGGTATGCATACCCGACTCGCATCGTCGTCCCAAGCGCGAGCAGGTGCTCCACGGGCGCAGGGAGGCAACGGTGGTCCCAGTACATTTGGAGCAGCACTTCCAAAATCCCGTAAGACAAGACAACCTGTCGATGGGAAGCCGAGCACAGCTGGAAGAATACCACGGACGCCGCCGCCGCCGCCAGCTTACTGTTGCCGGACCTGCGCACGTGGTTTAGCACTCGAAACACACCCGTGGCCACTCCAAGCGCGACGAAGGTGGAGGAAGGTGCGGTCAGCCGACGAGCACGAACGCTCGACAGGATGGCTCCAACCAACAGCGTGCTGCACGTGACAGGCAGCGACCTCGTGACGGCGGAGTTCATTGCAAAAGTGAAACCACCACCGAATGGGGCAATATAGTGGTGGAACTACATTAACAGCATGATACACACACCACGGTACCTCACTTGCTGTTTGTATGCAGAATTGCCATCGGGTTTGGCCTAATCTTTGTCATGGGTCAAATTGGTTAGATCTGATTGGTTAGTCCATTACGAACCATTCATTAACGTGACGAAGCATCAACAACAGGTGGGGTTTTGTGTGTCCAGTCGTTGGAGCATACTCCGTATATTATTAATATTATTACTAACAGTAATAAGCCATCAACGATGCGTGCGGCTACCGATAAACAGTAGTATACTAGTAGTCGCCCATGTCGTCGTCACCATCTCCCACTTGAAGCATACTTCCTAACGTTACGAATTACTACTACGTAGTAGTACTCCATAGTGGGCCACGATTTTGTCGGGGACAGGGCGTCTTCGAGGCAGAAATAGACTGTGGTTGTCCAGCCAGCGCAGCCAGTCACGGTGGAATAAAAGGGCAAAAGGGCATAAGGGCAACTTCTTGCCCTGGTGGTGGATTTGCAGTTGGGGATGTGAGCTGAAGGTCACGGGATAGTATCCCAGTACAGTATACTGCACGTGGCAGGACGGTTGAGCTTTATCGAGTGAGGTGGGGTATTTGGAGTTACAAGCTACGGTTTCGAAACAATGAGATATTACTGTTAACATGAGCAGCAACACCCCGAGTGAAGACCTTCGGGATGCCGTGTGCGACGGAGTGACGGATCGCATCGCATCGTTGATTGAAAGCGGCGCCGACGTCAACTTTATCGACGAAGACTCTGGGTGGGCTCTTTTGCTGTGGGCTGTGAAAGCCCACCAAGTGGAGGCGCTGGATCTACTGCTTCGTCATGGCGCCAATGTGAATGTGGGCGATTCGTCGGGGAACACGGCGCTCCACAAGGCGGCGTACTTGGGGTATGGGGACTGCGTGAGTCTGCTGCTCCAGTATGGCGCCGGGGCTAACAATCCGAACAACATGCAGCAGACGCCGCTCGACTTGGCCTCGCTCTTTGACAAGCCAGACATGGTGGCGCTGTTGTCCAGGGTTGTGTCGTAATCATTTGCAGTGTACCCCGTACTGTAGTGTAGTCAAGTGTCAACATACCAATAGCCACCACAGATTAACAGGGGGGGGAATAGCTCAGGTGGTAGAGCATCGGCTTCTTAATTCAAAGGTCGTGGGTTGGATCCCCGGTTATTTCCGCAAGGATTTATCCGTCCCTCCCCTGGGGAATCCGGATAACAAGGGCTGCGTACGGAAGACGAGGACCGAACTTCGAAGAAGATCGGTCGAAGCACGAGGTATGAAGCGTTGAGCGAAGTAAAAACCGAAGATTACACACCGCTACAATTGGCGAAGTGGTTCCATAAACATTTGGTTCTAGTGTCGGCCCTCGCGGAGGAATGTCTTAAAAATGATAATCCAAACTCAATTAACCACCACAGATTAACATTTGTACCGTAATGTCACGGAAGGATGATACATTAGACAGATTTCGGAACACGTTCCCATGCATTTGCCGTCAATTTACCTCGTTAAAATTTATCGAGTTTACGGGAACTGTCAAAATTTATGTGGGATGCCGTAGAAACGGCCACTTGTACAGCAAAGGTCATCCCTCCTCTAGGGCTTCATCATTGGTCTTAAATCGTGGATTTCAACCAGTCGCGCATAATGCACACTTCTTCACCCTTCCATGCCCGACGTGGCCTGGTGTCCAGCCTTTTCCACGCTAAGTTAGGCCATTCCGAGAGTTCAGGTGGAGCGATTACGTGCATCTTATCTTGTCTTATTCATTCAGCCAGTTATCCTGAACCTTCTCCAGCAGTCGGCGTTATTGCCTTGGTTCGTTGTCCTGCCACGACGATTTGAATATGGGGCCTCGGTGTTTCGCCTATAGGCGCATGAAGCGTACAGAAAACTCACAATTCTCATCCGCATGTGCACATAAGGGACATGGTCGAGTACTCAGTTGCTCCCCTCTAATCATGAACTAAAATCACCAAGCGGTTTCGTAAGGTGTCGTAAAGCCACTCCCTTGCTCAACGTGGCACGCAAAAACTGGGATCATAGTGATAGTAAAGTTGTGGACCCATGAGGTGTGTGCCAAGACCCCTTCGTGATGCCAATTGTGGTAATGGGTCCACATGAGTAAGCTTATGCAATGCAAGCATACGGATATCGTTCCTCATGCGGATGTGGTAAATGCAAATAAGTTTTGTCGAAATCATGAGTTGGGTCTGCCATATATTTCCCGTGCATTAAAATTTCCGTGCGTGGGAAGTCTACGGCAGTGCTTCCGAAATCTGTCTAT